TGAAATGGAGCTGGGGGAAGAGGGAAGGAGAAAGGGTCTGTTTTGGATCGCATGTGTACCCCACCATCCCAGCCCTCCTGTCAGTGTCCCGCCTCTTGTCCTGGGCAAGGAGGCTGGAGACTGGCCCTGCTGCCGTGCACGGGAGGCCAGCGCCCGTGGGAAACAGCAACGCTGGGGCTGATGAGACAATTTTTACTTTCTAGTGGTGCCCAAAGGCACATGTGCTAATGGTGCTATACAGGGAGCTCCCCCAGGGTTTGTTATTTTCCTTCATGTTTTATCATCAGATACCTTGACCCGTGGGAAGGTGCTGGGTCCTCTTGTGGCAGCTCATTGAGTAGTGATTTCTGCACTCGTGGGAGTATTTCTGCACCCTTTTCTGTTCCTTCTCGGGCTGCCCAGTTTCGTGGTGCTGAGTGCGCTCAGGGGGATTGGGGAGTGGCAAATGCTTTCTCTGAACCCTGACAGCTCCCTGGATATATAGGCACAGAGGGAATTAATAGTAGAGATGAGCATCGTTTGGTGTGCATTAGGAGCAAGGCAAACAAGTGAATTTAGAGAATGGGTGTTCTGAGGCAGTATCAGATCTGCCTCTTCGGTTATACAGTTGCTGCTGTGAACATGTATTGGCAATTGGTTGTGTTACCAGCTCTGCTCTTTAGTAGGGCTACTTAGCACTTTTCTGCTGGTTTAGATCATCTTCTCAACTGTTTATAATTGCACTATGCTTAGAAGTATTTGGGATTAAATTTTTCATGTTGCAATTTGTCTTGAGCTGTTTGATTTTCTTCCCCCCACCTGCCACCATTATAATTTTTTTTTATTTCAACTCAGTACTTTCTATTGTTTTGCCTGTGTTAATATTTCCCCCCACTCTTGCCACTTACTAGTTCACTCGTAGCATCTGCTGCTGGACTCTTCTTTCCACTGCCATGCCTGGATCTTCTGGCTACTGCATCCAGCTTCAGCCTTTCCTAGACTTTTTATTGAGATTTGCAGTTTATAATTTGGTCTCGATCCCCATCCCCTGAATACAACAGCTTCCTCCTCAGTGCTGCCTGAGGGCTAATGCCTCTGTAGGTAATTCAGGGGCTCTGTGCAGCCCCTCTCCTGTCCAGTAACTTCAAGTTTGCCAGCCACGTTGAGCAGGGCCAATGCAGGGGCATTACTTCTTGTGTCAGCACGGCTGGAGCAGGATTGTGCTTCACTCTCGTGTTCCTGCATTGCTACCCGCTCGCCCTGCCTGTTGGGGGGTACATGCAGACTGTAAGGGGATGGGGTGTGTTCACGAAGGGATTGCAAAGTAAAACACAGTCTACCAAGAGTATGCAACCTGCACCCCTTTCTCCCTGAGAGTGCCGGTACGGCTGTGTGTGAGTGTACCTACATGGAATAAGAAGCAGGGTTTCTTGACTTTGAGGTCACTGCTGTTACAGATTTCAAACCCAGATCCCAGAGCACCGGATCACGGGAGAATTTCAATGAGAATGGCTTTCTAATCTGGACAAAACTAACGGGTTTTGCCATCGCTGAGGAATGTTTGGGATGTCTTTGGCCAGAAAATTCGCCCTCCGATTCAGCTCAAGGAAAAACCCAGTATGGGAAATGTCACCTTAGATAAGTAAAACCCGGCCAAGTTCTGAACAACCCAAAGCAAAATGCTACAATGGAGAGCGCGGAGCTATCTTAATTGCCTGGAGCACTACCATTCATTCCCCTGCCTGTCTGGTACATTCTTGTGCTCGTATGGTCACTGTTAATTCATGCTGGATTGTTCTAATTAACGCCGATGAACTGTTCAGCCAAGAAGACTGCAGAGCTCTGCAGCTGCAGAGAGGGCTGGAGGAACATCTCCTGGTTTCTTTTTCCGTGTTTGCCTCCCTTGTGGACAGGCACCGTTTCTGTCCGTAACCAATAGGAGCCAATTTTCTGTTTCATAATAGGAAAATACTAACGTCAGGATGCCCTCCTTACCCAAAGCTTTCTCCTTGAAGATTGCTCCTCTTTGCTTTCCTAATTGCCGCTGCTCAGCTGGAGGTAGCGCGCGCCTTCCAAACACATTATTTTGTTATGCTGTTACTTACCAAAGGGAAAAAAAGAGTGTGAGAGAATATTGCTTTGTGTCAAGCTTTCCTCGCTTTAACCCTTTCTGTGGTGATGTGGGGCGTTTTTCTCTAGCGCGGGATGTTTTGCTATTGGCAATACATGCTTTTTGGTGTGAAGCTTGGGGTTTGATGGAGCTCTGATGTGAAGAACACCTAGAAATCATTTCTTCTGGAGTTTGAGGATGCCTCTAATGGGAGAACATCCCATTCTCAGATGTTCTCTTACTAAAGCATCCTCTTTGGAGTCACTGCACTCACATAGCAATCACCTATAATAAGACAAGAGTTGCCGAATTGATGGGTGGTTTGGGGACCAAAATGATGTGGGTGAAGCCCTTGGGATCAGGTTGGCTGAAACCTTAATGCTTGGAGTTATCCTTCCTTGAAGACTGGCAGGTCTGGAGCCTGTGAGAGCAGAGCCTTGGGGAGGGCGCTGGAGCCATGCTCCACGTGTTTCTTAGGGACTGAGGAGTCAGGCAAGGATCGCAGATATATGGCTTGCTGCATCTCTGCTCCTGGCTCCTGGGCCATGCTCCTGCAGGTCAGTGACCAGGAAAATTCACAGAAATGCTGTTTTCTCCAGAAGCTTCAGAAATGAGCAGGTCTGAGCCTTTTGTGTGCCACCCCATGATAGTGGCAGGGTGGGTTACCATCCTGGCAGCCAGGGCAGGTTACCTGAATCCCCTGGGGCTTTTTTGGGAAAAAACCCAGTTGCCTGGAGTAGAGCTAGGATGGAGTAATGGTGTATGTGGACACAAGGCTGCTGGGAGAGGCGTGCTGTTGGGAATTTCCTAGCAACATGGAAGAAAGGAGGAGCTCGGGCAGAGCAGGGACCCCAGCGAGAGCTGCAGAAAACGAAGCTGAAGCCTGAAGATTAACCCCGTAGGTCTGGAGGGACCATGCAAAGCCGAAAGAGCAGCCTTTTGCTTAGTCTCCGAGTGTACTCTTCTGGCTTCAACGTCAGAAACCACTTTCTTTAACCATGAAAGGAAAGGGGAGGCTGTGGTGGGGTCTCCGCTCAGGCTCCCGAATTCATCGCCAGCTGCCTTTCAGTGAGCGGAGTCGCTTTCTGCTCCAGGTCATTAACATCTGGAAAAGAAAAAGGGTGGAGTAAGTATAGAATCTTAGAATAGTTCAGGTAGTTTGCCGACATATCAGGAGGGTCTCATCCTGTTCTTGAGCTGTGTGATGTGCTGCTGTCTGGATCCTTGGCACCTGCCTGCCCATACCTTTATTTTTGCTGGCTCCACCAAGAGAAACAGCTATGGTGGTATCAACCTGGTGGGTGTCTCTAGCAAGCTTCTCCTTAGTCCTGCCTTTGTGCTGCCAGCACAGGGCGAAATGTGGGGGGTTTCTGAGGTATGTGTTTGTCTTGTGGAAGCTGGTTGTTTACTGTCTGTGTTTGGGTGCTGCTCCGAGACCCAGGGCAGGTTGGGGCAGAGGCAGGCAGATGTTTCGTGAGAAATGGTTTCTGCACCACCTGGTCTCTTCCTTTGTCGTAGTGGTCAGGTCTGCAACAAACCAGCAGTTACAGGCAGAGCATTTCACCTCTAATGAAGCTCCAGCAAAGAGGGGTTTTTGTCCCGTGGGAAGCAATGATTCAGTTCCCAAGGATCATGCAAGCTCGGGTAGGTGCCAGACATGCTTAGCATGGAAATCGCAGTTAAGCATGGAGTCAGCTACCTCCTTGGGGAGATCTAACTCTCCTTGGAGCATTTTCTGCTGCCAATGTCTTCATGTCTGGAATTGCAGGTATTTGCAAGTAGCCCGAGGAGTCAGAGAAAAGCAGAATCCTGTTTGCTGTGTGGTTTTCTTCATGTATCTTACTTAAGAAAAGATACAGCATGAGGATATTTTTTTTTTCCTGATCTCAGATGGTTGTAAAAAGCTCTTCTCTTTTACCCTGTGTTGGTTGCACCTGAGTGTGCAGACGGGCCAGGTTAACAAGGCAGAAAATGATCTGAGGAGGTGACTGAGGGGTTGGTGGTTGCGAAGTCTTGTGGTAGGACTGAGCCCTTCTTGTTGGGGCAGTGCTGATGCCAACAGCACTTCCCTTGGGGCTGGCATTCTCCTCTGCAGTTGTGTGACGTGTCGTGGAAGGGCAGGCCTGTGGGTCACAGCTGCACGCTTTGGGTGCAAACATTCAAATCCAGGTAATTGCATCTGACCTTCAGGATATTCCCAGTACAGATCTGTGCCTCTCCCCACCCCAGCCTGGCCAAGTCCTGGACTAGTGGTACGAGTCCTGATTTCCTGAGGGTGCCACTTTACTATGACTTGCTTAGAGACGAGGTTTTATCCTACTTCATGTGATCCCCTTGCTCCCATTCCTAGTACCCACTGCTGCCTGTGCCCGGGGCTGCCCTGCCTGCACCCGTGCTGCCAGGCTCCGCACCTAACGAACCCCGCGGGCAGTGCACAGGGGGCTGGGGGCATGCAAGGCAGTTGGTCTTGCATTTGCAAAACCCAGCAAGTGGCCTTGGGGAGTGGGCGTGTGAGCGGTCAGTGGGCTTTAGGGGGGTGTTTGGGTGAGGGAGACCACAGGAGGAAGCGTGGTGGCTCTGCCTGTGCTGCTGGTTTGGCTCCACAGAGGTGGGGGGGTGTGGGCAGTGTGGTGAACAGCTCAGCTTTTGAGTGAGAGGGGGGATGCTCATAGCCTGCAAGCATGAAGGCAGGCAAGTATAAAGCCAATGGTGTGGGCAGCAGGTCAAATGCTTTTTTTTTTTTTCCTGGTTGCAAAGCCTTTCTTCCCTTGTTCCCCTCATTTCCAGAGCTGATATTGTTACCTAATCCATGTTGCTAAAATTCTTCTGTTAGAGGATCAGCTTTTCTGTGGGAAGACTGCTGTACTTCTCTCTAATATTGACTGTCTTTCTTTCTCGTTTCCCTTCTTAGATCTACAATGAGAATAGAAACCTGTTTGAAGTCAAGGAGAACGTGCCCAGGAAATTGGTGGAGAAGGTCGCAGGGGACATTGAGAGCCTCTTGGCCAAGAAAGTCCGTGCTTTAAAGGTAAGGTGATGGGCCTGTGTGCTGATATGTTCAGTTTAAAGAAGAGGGTTGATGCTGGCGTAGCATTATGATTTCAGCTTCAAAGTAATTTCTGTGGTCGCGTGGCCTTTTCTGGGAACTGCATCCTGCAGTTGCACAGGTCCATATGGAGTCTGCCTGGGGTGTGAGGTGAGGATGTATCATGTGAGGATCTACTGTAGGTATCTTCCTGCTTTTTGTCTCCTCCCACTGTCATGTGAACACCTGAAGGTGCTGCCACAAGAATACAAGTGACAGCAAAAGCCTGGCAGCAAATTTGACCCAGTCATTTAACTGGGGGTGTGGTGAGCGGGAGCAAAGGTACTGCGGTATCCCTGCAGTGTTTCAGACAAGTAGGGTTTTTTTCCTCTTTAGGAGAGGATGCACTGAAATGTTTGTGCTGGTGCCCGGCACTTGAATCCTGTGATTGACTGTGTGTGTGAGTTGCCCTCGTGGGTGCCTGCGTACGTTTCCAATCTATCGTCCTATTTTGTAGCAATCCTTTTAAAATGAATTCATTTTATCTGTAGTGGAGTGAGGTAACCTGCTCGTGGTGCCGGCTCGATAAAACCCGGTGGTGGCTGTAACAAGGCGGCAGCGGGGCTGTGCTCTGCTACTCGTTCTTTGCCACTGGGGCAGAGACAAGTAATTGCCTTCCTGGAGAGAGAGAGATACCCTCTCTGCTGCAGAGGGGTATGGGAGCCATGTAAGAGTTTCACTTCCAGGAGCTGTAGTCTCCTCTCGAATACCTGACTGTAGCGAGCAGGATGAAGTTGTGCAGTGGACATCTGGCAGTATGGCCAACTGGGCATGCCTTGCAGCTTGGTTAACTAGAAGTGCTTTTGTGGGGCGATAGGTAAGGGGAAGGCTCGGAGCAGGTAGCGTAGCTGTTGTGTCTGTATAGGGACTATAGCCAAAAAGACTT